GAAGAGCGTTCAAAATAGAAAAGGAAGCATGGGAGGGGCAGTGGCAAAGGCTATCAGAAAGAGATTAACTGTGCCCAACGGCTGATGTCGTTGGCAGGGCAAGGAAAGACTAGGGGCAAGCTGCATCACGTTGTGGCCCCTTAAGGGATGGTATTTTACATTAACTACATGCCACTATTTATAATTGCAACCAATCAAACATGTTCCAGTCCATTTTGCTATTGAGATTTTTTTTTTTTTCTAAACTGCCGTTTAAAGATAAGAAAAAAGTTGTTGGGAGTTACGTCCCCCTCTGTCCCCAGTTGTCTTTTTTGTAAACTGTACTGTCAGCAGTCGTAGAACAAAGACAAGATTCATGACCCCTACCAAAGGAGACAGCCAGCGGAGGCTGTTTCGCTGTGGGTAGAATAAACAGAACTATGAACAAATGAGGAAGTTTTTTGAACAGTTACTAATGATAAACTTTTTTTGGAGTTCAGGTTCAGGAGAGACAGACAAGTTTAGATAAGGAAAGAACAGATTGTTTAAAACAAGCCATATAATGATGTTGCTGCCCTTTCCAGTTTCCTGAATTGTTTCAAAAATTGTTTGTGTCATGGTAATTATGCTAAGTAATCAGTATTACAGTGAGTAATTTTGTAAGCATTGTTAGTTTCCAGGTGTAGGCTCTTCTGCTAGCCATCGATGTTCTCTACTGTTCTACTAAAAAAAATGAGGAATACGTTAAATATGTCAATATTACTCCACAGCATTTTAGAACCATTAACCAACCATTGTAAGGCCACTATTACAAAAGTAGCTTCAGGAAAAGGAAAACATTTACAGAACTAACAGATGAAGTTTTTAAACATTCGTTAAGGAAACGGACACCCAGCACAGTGTAAACCAAATGATCTGACACATACCTGGAAGTAAGACTAAATTTCCACTCCTCCTGCCTTGATTCTGCCTGAATGCAATACTGTATTACGTACTGATCGCCTGCCTATAGCCGGCAGAAAACATGGAGTTACTGAATTAGTCCTTTTTTTTTTCCTCGGTTTTGCTGTTTGGGGCTTTCAGACTGCAATGGTCACTTGAAGACTACTGTATCTACATGCACGTTAATTATTAACTATAGCTACAAGCAGGCTTTTTCAATACAACGTCTGAATGCAGTTTCTATTTGCTGTCAATAAAATAGGCACTTTCGGTGCCTCCTTCCAAAGTCCAGCACCTTCATGAAGAACACTGTTTGCCACCTTTATCTTAACTTCTGTGTGAGTCATACTGCACAAACACCATCTGAATCTAACGAGGAAGAAATCAATCTGAGTTAGGAACGCTGTGGGACTCTAAAATACCTAGCATCTGTTGAAAAATCATCTGCCCTTTCTCACCGGCAAGTGACAACAAACCAGAAAACTTGTGAGTAGATTTTGTTTCACAGGCCTGATACCGGGGGAGTATACTGTTTAATCTTAGAGGGGCTTGCGTTGGGTTTAACCGCCCAAGAGAGCAGATAAGGAATTCCTGGTGACGTTTCGTGCTTTACAATGCAGAAGGAATACGACTCCGAAGAATCCCGTCAGGGCTGTTCGGCCTTGCCGCTCTCATTTCGGCTGCAGGACACCAGCGATGCCGGAAAGCTGATACCTGTGGAATGCCAGGCCTGACGTGCTGGTAAGTTACGGTTTCGGGAGCAG